ATAGGATTAAATCTAATTTTTTCTCTCATCATTTTACTATTTTTTTAATTAATCTCTAATTGAATTTACATCTAAAAAAGGTGTGAGGTATCATGTTTTTTAATAAACTTGTACGTTTCTGCTAAAACCATTCAAAATATTTTTAATTTTGTTCATGTTTAATATAATAAAACTTAAATTTGATAATTTTAAAATAATGCGTTTTACACATCATTAATTGTATTTTCGAGTAAAGTAAATTTTCGTTGAAAATATCATTAACTCATATTTTCCTCGTTTATTATTATTCAATCTCTAGAGTACTCTATACAGATTATCTCGTTAAAGGCACCTTAAATCTTTCTTGTTACCACAATTGTTACCTATAGTAGTAAATCCATAATTTTAGTGGTCTTAAGATGTCCGATGTGCAAGGTCTCAGTCGTAGTACCTTCTTCACTAACTGTTGCCTTAAGGTACGCTTGTCTTTAAGGCTGTTTCTGAGGAGGCACGACGATTGGTGCAGGTCTGGAACGAAGATTTTCTGGAAAAGGATAGGATGGAGAGCATGGAACGAGATGAAATCAGGTATGTTATAAGATTTATTTCTTTTTTTTATTATTTTCAACTAACGTATTTTTTTCTGTTGTTTCAGGTTAGTGAGCGTATATTTTTTGTACAAGGGATGCACATTGTGGGGAGTGCTCTGCAAAAAAAGTAAGTTTTTTTTTAATTTTCCTGGTTTATTTGGTTGTTCGTTTATTTTCCCGGAGATGGCGTGAGCGCGGTCCTGCAGGAGCTAAAGTCACCTGTGGGGCCCCTCACAGAAGCGAAGCAGAGTGTCGAGTCGACCTCTACCGGGGCTAAAGTCCCCTGTATGAGCGTCCTCACAGAAGCACGTTGGGTTGAGATCCGCAGGGGCTAACGTCCTCTGTGGAGGCTCCTCACAGAAGCAAAGAACATGCTTTCCTCTCGAAAGCAGCAGAGGTCCTTTGGGTTGTTCTCTCTATCGGTCTTTTTATTGGGTTGTTATGTCTATCGGTTTTTCTTAAGAATGTATTTGATGTTCTTATACTAGCTCTGTTCATATTATCTAAGTCAAATTAAAATCTAGAAAATCTCTATCAGTTATTTTTTATTTTCTTAAATTAAACATGTAGGTGTAGGTAATTTTCTTTAACTTCTTAATTTTTTTTAACTCACTTTTATATAATTATTACTATTTTAGAGTAAACGCATGTCAATATCTAGCATTTCGATAACTAAATGTTTAATACAAATAATCTAAATTTTCTAAATTTATTTTTACATTTTCAATTCAAGTTCAGATATAACTCTAGGCCCCAGAGAAAAGGAACCAATTTTTTTAAGTTCTATAATACAGATATTTATGACTTTCTAGGACACTATTAGTATTGTCTGTAATTTTAAACTAAATTTAATAGAATAATTATCCTATTCTAGTATCTGTAATGTTGAATCGAGGGTGCTAAGATAACGAGGATTTCAAGTCTTATTGTTTTAGTGTTTTCTTTTTAACGTTATTTGGGATTAGATTCTCTCTGATTTAAACTATTTCAAAGCATTTCAGTAACTAAATTTTCAATACAAATAATCTAAATGTTTTAAACTTATTTTTGTATTTTCATTTCAAGTTCAGGTATGATTCTAGGGCCTAGAAAAAAGGAATCGAGTTGTTTAGTAGTGCAGTAGAAATTTTTAGGACTTTTTGAGGTCATCGTCAGTTCAAGTTCAAATTTTTGAATGTTCAGTGTCTCAATTCGTTCAGCTCCAAGCTCTTCAGGGACTAACGTTCTCTTTATGAGCTGCACTGTAGGTGTTGTGGATTGGTTGTTGCATATCCTTTTTTTCAGGGCGCTATATGTGGAATTTTTGGGAGGGTAGTGTTGAGTGCTGTGAAGATATCAGATTTTGAATGTGAAAAAAAAATATTGAGTGTAAAAAATATATAGTGATATATACTACAGGTAAGACAGGGCGACGCGATAGCCCCAAAGCTGTTTACAGCAACACTAGAAGAAATCTTCTGGCAACTAGACTGGGTCAATAAAGGATTACAAATAGATGGGGAATATCTTAACAATCTAAGATTCGCTGATGACATAGTTCTAATTGCCAATAGTCCTGAAGAACTACAAGCCCAAATTAACGAACTAAATACAACCAGAATTAATGTATCTTCTACAAGCAAAAACTAAAGTAATGTACAACGAACTAGTAGACAGAAAAGACATTCTATTAAATAGCACAATACTATAGTAGACAAATAATTAGTAGAACATTAAATATGTTTGGGACAACTAATACAGAGCTCGGGATCTCTACCACCAGAAATCAACAGAAGAATTAAGTTAGTATTGAGTGTTTATGGAAGAAACTCAATCATATTCAAATCCAGAATGGCACTTTATCTAAAGAAGAAAACATTCGACCAATATGTACTACCAGCACAGCTACCAGTCATGACCTAGGCAGGCGAAACCTGGACATTTAAAACGGACATTATAAGGAAACTGCAGGTCGCACAACGCTCAATGGCACGAAATATGCTGAGAATAACCAAGAGAGATCATATAAGAATAGGAATTAAGAGACTTAGAAGACCATGATATTAGGAAATTAGGAGGGATAACTTGAGCTCGCATAGCCAACAATAGATAACCAATGGGCCCAACTACAAAGAGATTATCTAAATATGTGAGGGAGGCTACACCATAGTGTTTGTCGAATAAGCTGAAAATGATGATCACTACAGGTAAGAAAGTATCTTCTTACAGCTTCATAATTTTCTAGATTTTTAAATATGTTTTTTATATTTTTTAGATAAAATCATTTGCATCGAAACTGACGTGTACAAATAAAATATATTGCATGTCTAAGTACGAAATTATTTTATGAAAAAACAAGTATAAATATGTGGAAAATTTGTGAGTTATTTTGGTAAACCATAATATTTATTATTATAAAGCAGCCCATACATTATCAAACAAATTGTGCAACGAAGCGATGCGTAACGTTGCCTTGCACAACTGATTCAGCGGTCCATACACTATCAAACAAGTTGCTCAACAAAACGATGCGCAACGTTCCGTTGCACAACTGCATTACCCACATGCACTTGTAAAATTTTCATCAAACTTTTTATTAAAAGTTGTGCATTGTTTGAGAAACAATCATGTCCTGAATTGCCATTGCGTCAATTATTATCGTATATACCCTAGATGATGTCGATGATACCAAAAAACGAAAAAGAAAACAAACAATTTGGATGAAAGAACTAAAATATTGCACAACGAAGCGCAACACACACATACACTACACAACGCGTTGCGCAAACATTCCTGTTGCACAAAAGAATTCAAACATTCTTGAAACTCATCAAACAATTGCGCAACGCATCAAAAACTACCATACATTGGCAACTCGTTGCGCAACAGCTTGCGTTGCGCAATTTGTTTGATAATGTATGGGCCGCTTAAGACAAAATTTTAGTTTATAATTATATTTGTCCACAATTTTTATATAACCATTGGGTCTAAAGTACTTCCTTTCTGATCTACTGGGTGTTAAAAATTAAAAAAAATCGATTTTTGCTTAACATAAGTGGTACACCACTGCTTTTTTAAAGAAAATATATTTTTTTCTTGACTGGCCATCCTTTTTCAACCAAAATTGATCTTTTGAGTTTTTCTTGTCCATCAAACGGTTGTCGAGAAAAAAATAAATATACTTATTAAGAGCCCGCGTTAATCCGTTTTCTAACGATTTTTTATTTTTTAGATTAATTAGGAAACACCCTGTATATGCATATCACAGGCAATCAAATAAGCTAGTAACATCTAAAAATTATTTTTCCTACCACTAACGACATACCGTGTTTTTAGTATGTACTAAATTATTTTATCAAAATTTCATCATATAAGTTTCCAGGCAATGATCCCGATGCGCGGCTTTTGATGATTTGACGTTTTTCTTATTTTTTCTTTCTGTTAGTTTTGACGTTTAAAATTGTCAAATGTTAAGTAGGTAGTGATTATTAAGTGGCATATCAAGAAGTCGTTTAAAATCAAAAAATTAATATGAGAGTGATAATGAGCCCTGTACACCACCAGAGATAGCAGAGGCGGCCAAATTAACAAGTCTTGGATTGCTACCACAAAAGTCTAAGGATCATTACATGTCTGCCTATAAAAACTTTCTAGACTGGAGGATTTCTAAAGGCATAAATTCGTTTTCCGAATCTGCGTTATTAGTAAATTTAGTTGCCATTGTAACGGAACAAAAATCAATCTCCTTATTGACTAAAGAATGTTTGTACGATATTTTCATGCAAAGACTTGAAATAATATCAATGAAATTCAAATACATATATAACTTTAAAAAAAACACAAAGTACTCCAATTTATCGTTCTCCAACAACTGTACTCAATTAAAGTTGGGAGAAGCCTGTAGAAGTAGGTTTTATTGCAAAAAACTTGAAGAGGCATCAATAAAATTCAAATACATATATAACGATAAATAAATCATAAATTACCAACTTTAGTTACACAAAACAACCAAAAGTCAGCTGCTGGTGGTACGATCTATCATTTTTGAACGAATTTATTTTACTAAAGGTGGTAGAAAAAAGTACTAATATACAGGTATGTCGTAAAACACATCTAATAATAAACTTCCCAAATATTTGAAAATAGAATAGTTCGAGATGACTGCAACTCTCGATGCATAGCAACTGATGTTATTGACGTTTTTATTATCTTTTAGTTAATTTTGACGTTTGAAATTGCCAAATTTTAAGTAGGTAGTGACATTTTCCCCTAAAACATGAATACAATAATTAATAGTAAGATTAACATTAAAAATAAAAATTCAAACACTCCTCATAATTATTATAATGGCCGTGGACAAAGTATAGTATTCAACTCGCAATTTATAGCCATTATTCACTCGGGTGACTTGCGCCCCTCGCCTACGGCTCGTGACGCAAACGTCACCTTGCGTGAATAATTGCTAACATAAATTGCTCGTTCAATAAAATAATATTGTATTTTTAAAGTATATCAATACTAATACTTCTTTCTTTTTTTGTATGAAACTTCTAGGGAATTAATTGGAATCCAATTATATCTTCCTTCATCATAAAGTCAAGAAAATTTTGGAAAATGGAAAAAAAGAAATAAATATATGGGGGCATGAATAGGAGTAGAAGATAAAATATTCAGATATTAGTAGCAGTTGCCAAATTATTTTGGTTTTTGAAATAACTACTCGCTACGGTGAGAACAGCAATTATTACTTTATATTATTTTTTAACCTCTTTTTGTTATCTTTTCTTAAGATTTTATATGAGTATATTATTATACTCAACTTAAAAAACGAATATTTATTTTAATATTTCAGGTTAAAACTATGTTGGATGTTCCTTCTTGCAAGAATTTGACGATGGGAGGCAGTTGTGAAGCGCTGGACTTACACAAAAATAGGTAAGCATTTCGTTAACTTATCTTGTATCTCCTAAACTCTCTGGTTTCTCTCATATATTATTTATTGATATTTTTCTTTTCATTTTAGATCTTTCGGATGCGAAAACATTGTTTCCCAGAGCTGAGGACAACACACTTGCATTGGCACGATTAGAAGATGGAACAAATGACCCCAACATGCAAATGGGACATGCAAATGGGACATGAAGAAGAAGATGATCCTTATAACACAATACAGGTCAATGAGATAGAGGTAACATTTCACCTAGTTAAAGATTATAATGTTTATATCATAATTTCTTAAAATTATCATGTTAGTGGATTAATAGCCATTGTAGGCACATATTTTATCGAAGAATGCTGATAGGATTAAAATAAGATTTATGTTTTATCTTTTCTTTTACTCTTTAGAAGAGAGATGGTGGTTTATGTCGTAGAAATACATAGTAGTATTTAATACCCTGTACTCGATATATTGATATTGGTATATTTATTATGATTATTCTTTTCTTAATTTACTGTAATTTCTTGCTCCCGTAATGTCAAAATAAAATCTTGACAATATGGTAAAGGTTGAATTTTGAGAGTATTGGTGGTATTGGATTGATATTGAGATATTTTTTATGACTTAATACTACATATTATGGCTTTGTGGTGTGGAAAATAACCTGTTAAGATTTCTTAATTATATCGTCGGCTTTACGACGAAAAGGCGTATCTCAATTTTTGGCGATTTTGAGATATCAACGTCATGACATGCCCAATGGGTCATATTTTAACATAGCGAATTTGTGCATCTCAATATTGTACCTTTTTCATTTTATATTAGTTAAAAATTTGCCCCATCTCAGATACTACAATTCTTCGTTATGACGAAGAGACGTATGTTGAGATAGGGCTCTTTGTTATATCAATTATTGTTATACCAATTGTTATACTAAAAGAAAGATGGAATTTGTGATAGGTCCTTTTATTTTAAGTTATGAAAATGCATGCGAGAGAAAATCACAATTCTATCTAATTATTTTCTGACGGTTGCTTGGGACAAAATAAAACTTCTATCATGGCAGCAGCTCTCTTTTACAGTGTGATTTTAGAGTCTATTTTTTTGCCAAAAACCATTGTTAGAATGAGCTAGACTCTGCACATAGCTGTATCGTGTATGCAAAAGATTGTCCGAGAATAAATGGCCGAATAAAAGGAAAATTTTGATATAAAGCAAAAGAACGAAACGAAAATTGCCGTAATGGAAAATTTCCCGAAATCATAATTTCTCTAAGAACATTTTAGCGAACCAAAAACTTGCCCGAAAAATACAATAATTTTCATCTCATTATCATTGTCAGGCCATTGGTATTGTCATCCCTACCAATTTTTGGAAATTTTTATTTATTTTGCCTATCATCATCCAGCATAAACACGTAGAATGGAAGTCGAATTTGTTATCATTGAACAGGGTAAACAGAAACTGTTATTCCACAGTTATTTGTATAAAAAAAAAACGAATGAAGAAACATGTTTTGTTTAGTTTGGTTTTTATTATATGGACCGTGAGTTTAAATGCCCTGTATTAATGCCCTCAATTAACTAAAAAATTACTAAAAATATATTATTTAAAATAGTGCATTTTTGTATAAAAAACAATATTATTAAAATAAGCTAGATAAGAGTAATTTAATTGATTATTGTCTTTGCTTCTGGCATGAAAATTGTCTTTGTTTTCAGTTGATCTAATCCAACGCGAATAAAAGTATTTAAAAATATTTGTTTCTGATTTTTTGGGGATTTTCAGATTTTTTCTTGTAAGTATGTATTGTATTTTCTTGTAAGTATTCCATAATGTGAATATTGTATCATTTTTTTTCTTATTAAGAACACTTTACCGTCATTTTTAAATTTATTTTACATGGGCGTATGTATACTATTCGTTCGGAAAAATAAATTTATTATTATTATAACAAAAAGGCCTGTCTCTATTAAACAACTAAAAATAAATTATTTATTAGAATTTACGCTCAATTTATCTTCAGAACGTTTCCTCAATGTCTCCGTTAAGGTGTTAATACAAAAACACTATTAAAAAATTAAAGGCTTTACATTTATTGGCCAAATAAAGTAAGTGATTTTCTTTAAATTGCTCTCCTGAAAAGTAGCAAAAATCGAGATACGCCTTTTCGTCATAAAGCCGACGATATAATAACCCATACATTTTTATATTTTTTTTTTGAAAATTGTTTCATGGGGGAAAAATATATACAGGGTGATTTTTAACCTATAGGTACGCATAAACTTGGGAAATTATTGCTGATGACTAATAATGAAAAAAAAAAATGTCAGTAAAATGTTTTTAGATTCTGAAATAATTTGAGTTTTTTTTTCACAAAAATTTATCAACTTCATCAGTAATGCACATTCAATTTAAGGGAATTTACGTTTTCTGTTTTTATTTCAAATAGTTTGTTATCTCCGTAAATAAAAATATTTAGTGCACATTCAATTTAATGGAATTTACGATTTTTGTTTTTACTCCAAATAGTTTGTTATCTTCGTAAATAAAAATATTTTACTAACTTTTTTTTTCATTATTAGTCATTATTTGTCATCAGCAATAATTTCCCAACATTATGCGTATAGGTTCAAAATCACCCTGTATATCTGTTGTCCGAAGAATGATATAATCCAAAAAGAAATATTTTTATATTTTAGATATGCTAAGAAAATCACATAAATTAGGTGTAAGGATATAAAAATCTTAAGGTAGCAGAAAAAATAATTCAATATGTATAAGAGGAATTAAACAAGGTAACTAGTAATGTTGCTGATTCTACAATTTTAATGGAATGTTATAAAACTTAGTATGAACATGATATTTAAGGAGCTACAGCATTTAAAAATACCAAAAAAAAGAAGAAACTTGGACACACATCTTTTTATTTTTCCGAATTTTTAATAAAGCATTTTTTAAACGTCAATCTAGAGTTTTATTGCTGTTTAATTAAAATAATAATATAATATTGCAAATAATATACTTGGTGTCCCAGAAATAACTGCAAGTGTTTTAAGAGGTGGTAGATCTCGATAAAAGAAACATATTTTTTCTTTATCGTTTTTCAAATAAGTCCAAAATTTTCCAAAAATAAATATTTTTTGCTCAAACTGGATCTTTTCTGGATTTTCTTTCTTGTAAATTTAATCTAATACCTATGTTTCCATATTATCAAGAAATTATGTTTTTAACTAAAAACTAAAAAAAAATTCCAAATTTTTTTTCTAAAAATTCCGAATTTTCAAAACATTTTTTTCGCGAAAAAAACCTCGTAGGCGTATTTCTGGGGTTGAACTATACTACCAGTTAAAGGTAATAGAAAATAATTCCAAAATAACTTCTGGGAACACCGACGATGTGCGCATGTCTAGTATTTGCTAAATTGTAATTGGCCTTGAAGGGACCTTCAAGGTCGGCCACCGGATCCACACCTTTACCTATATTAGAAATACTGTCTAATTCTGGAGATAAACAAAAATCATTTAATTTTATCAAAAAAATAATATATTCTAATAATAAACAACTTAACATCTTAACTAATTATTCTGGAAATAGACAGAATTTTAAATAAAAAATAATACCTAAGATTACCTCCATACTCTTCTGTACTCCTGATACAAATCCCTGATATTTCGTATTTTAATAAAAATTGCACGAAAAGCTTTTTAAGTCTATACCCTCTTCGCTCTTATGTTACGAAACTTTCACTTTTAACAAAAATTGAACGAATATTTTTAATCCTTGTCCAAAATCACTGATTTCTATCAGGAACACATATAAGTGTAAAGAGATAAAGAGTAAATTGAGTACCAATATTTACCTGGTCGCTCGTATGTTCTCCTGGTACAAATCCGAGAAAATTTCACTTTTGACTAACGACTCCACAAAATTTTTTAAACCTAAAAATAAAATCTCCGATTTCTGTCAGGAACGCATAAGGGCGAAGAGGTAAGGCGTAAATTTTGTACCACCATAGCATTAATCAAAGATATTTCTGCTGGCTCTAGCGTTTCGAACTCGTTTCCAAAATTCAACCCCTAATATTTCGGTTGTGATATAGAGCCTATACATATTCGCGCCCTAATTTTGCACCCTTATGGAGGGTTGAATTCCTTATTGAATGCCGTATTCCGTTTCTCGATATCTCTTATAGTTTGGCTATACAAAGCCCGTTTTTCCAAAAAAATATAGCAATTCTAACTCGTTGGTCAGTTGCTCCATTTATTTGCCAGGTCGAAATTATTTTTGGTCCGTTTTGTCAAAATCTTTTTGGAGAAAAATTGAATTTGTATCAGGAACATATGAGTGCGAGAAGGTATTTTTCGATACCAGGAGTAAACAGTTACATTCACCATTTAGTCAACAAAAATTTTAAATGTCATAATATAAAGAACAGAATCCTTAAATTTGTATCAGAAGCATATAAAAGCGAGGAGGTATTTTTCGATACCAGGAGTAAGCAGTTAACATCCACCATTTAGTTGAAAATTGTTGATCTAAATATCTGAACAATTAAAAAAGCTATATGGTAATCGCAAAACAATTTCAGATGCACGTGATCAACTTTGAGTGACAGGCGATGGCGAAAGCGCTGCCAGATTGTGATGGATTTATGAGATGAATCTTAAATTAACACAAACAATATATTTATTATATCATTTTTTAAAGATCTTTACGTTTTATTTTTATAAATAATAATATTTTTTTTATTTAATAACTAATATTTTTGTAATTAATTGATTTATTTGTTTTATAGCTTATTTTACTTATTACATATTGGCAAAAACTAGTTCATTATGAAGATTATTCTAAGCGTTATTATGGGTCATTTATTATTTATTAATGTACAGGGTAGGTCAAATTCGACGCTTTTAAATGGAAACACCCTTTTCTATAGGAGATAGACAAAAACTAATATCGGTGTCTGGAGCTCAATTCTTGTCAAAAACATGATGGTGAAAACCGCATATTGATATCTGTTACCGTTTCGGAGTTACGGGGTGTTTTTAAAAATATGCATTTTTAACAAATCGCTGTAACTTTTTTGCTATGGAAATTTTTTTATTTTTATGAAAACGTCTCCAAGAGTTAGAGTTATATTTTTGGAAAGGTAATTTTAAATTATTTTCAATAAATTAAAAATATACAGGGTGTCCCATATAAAAAATCAAATTTTCTGTTGATAATTCTTAAATTATTAATATTAAAAAAATTATACTTAAACCATTAAATTGTATGTAAAAAGGTGTGTTGGAAATGTTTTCATAAAAATACAACATTTTTCATATCAAAAAAGTTACAGCGATTTGTTAAAAATTCATATTTTTAAAAAACACCCTGTAACTCCGAAACGGTAACAGATATCGATATGCGGTTTTCACCAACATGTTTTTGACAAAAATTGAGCTCCAGACACCGATATTAGTTCTTGTCTATCTCCTATAGAAAAGGGTGTTTCCATTTAAAAGCGTCGAATTTGACCCACCCTGTACAGGGAAATAAAAATCCAATTGGTAATAATAACATTTTTATTAAATAATCAAATGTTTCTGGATATCTAATACAATTTTTACAATTTATTTAATGCGTACTTAAAACTATAATGAATCAATACATGATTCCTAAAAAATACTCATAATACAGATCAGTACCTGAACACCTTACAAACAGTTTAAAATAAAATGTTAACAAAATAACTTATACAGACCCTAACAACAATATTCTGGTCATAACACATTACCATAATTTTAAGTGTTTTAATCGGTTTAAGTAAATTGGTTTTGTAAGAAAGCCATGAAAAATTGGGTTTTACGTTGTACCCAAAATATTGCTGGAAAAATCCGTCAAAAAGGTATAGACGTGTTACTTTATAACTCTTGTCGAATCTCAATCTCATTTACACAATATTTTACAATTCTCTAGTAAAATTAATTAATTTATTATCACCTATTACTCTAATTAAAGTTACGAATACTATTTACAACGAATTATTTAATCTTTTAGCGACATCGTTCGCGCATAGGACGATTTTAATGTGACGTGAGTACTTTAAACATATATAAACAATAATATTGGGGTAGGCAGTTACCTACCAGTCAAGTACAGGGTGTTAACTCTCGTTTGTTCAAATTAACAAATAAAAAGTTATATCTTAAGATTTTAATAAGTCAAAACATTTATAATTCTTAATGTAAAATATGTCTCTTCTAAGATTTAACTCAAGATATTTATATGGGAAAATATTTTTGCAAAATCATCATATCTCTGACGAATAAAGAAAATACCAACAAATCTTATATTTCTGTAGATGAGGTAAAAATGCAAATAATTGACAGTTCTTATACAGGGTGTATAATATAGTAGGTATCCGGAAACTTCGGCAGCATATTCAGCAGACAAAACTAAGTAAAAAAGTTTGTATAAATGTATGTCCTATAATGCGTAATTTCGGAGATACAGGGTGTAGAAATTTCATTTTTATTTCGAGATTTTATCCTAATAATTTCTGAAGTAACGTCAATATTTTGGATGGAGATTGGTGTCTGGAAGTTTTTTGACATGAGAAATTTGATTTTGATATCAATATGACTCTAATTTGTAGGAGGCGCCATCTACATGTGTTTTAACTGTTTTGAAGAGTCATAACTTTTTGTCCATACCTGTATAAAATTACGTAATAAAAAAATATACTTTTCCGTAATTTTTTACGTAAAAAAGGTTTCTTAGTAAAAATCGCTACGAGCAACCGTTTTCAAGATATTTAGAATGTGGAAATAGTCAATACATGTCAAAAAAAAGTATTATACAGGGTGTCCCAGAAATAAGTGCAAATATTTTAAGGGGTGGTAGATCTCGATAAAAAAAACATATTTTCTCTTTATCGTTTTTCAAATAAGTCCAAAATAATGGAGTTATTTTACTTTGAAAATTTCCAAAAAAAATTATTTTTTGCTAAAATTTTGAGAATCACTGGATCTTCTCTGGATTTTCTTTCTTGTAAATTTAATCTAATAGCTATGTTGCCATATTATCAAGAAATTATGTTTGTAACTAAAAACTAAAAAAAATTTCCAAAAAATTTTTCAAAAAAATTCGAATTTTCAAAAATTTTCTCGTGAAAAAACCTCATAGGCGTGTTTCTGGGGTTGAACTATACTACCAGTTAAAATATTTGCACTTATTTCTGGGACACCCTGTATAAAAAAAACAAAAAAAAAATATTATTATTTATATTTAAAGTATACACAAAAAATAAACCCGTTGAGTAGATAGTTATTTGATTGAAATGATAAATTTGGGAAATTTTTTTTATTCTTAAATCAATCATAAATTTTTCTGCGAAAAAAATATTATAAAACAATTTCTGTTGAATTTCTGGCACAAAAATATTTCAAATTTATGATTTCAGTCTAATAACTATTTAGTTAACGTGTTTAATTTATGTCAATGATGACAGGTATTGATAATTTCAATTCCAAATATTTGGAGAACTATTACTCATAGCGATTTTTACCAAGAGACCTTTCTTACGTAAAAAACCTCATAAATGTAAATTTTTTTACTCATTAGTTTTATACAGGTACGAACGAAAAGTTATTATTTCTTCAAACCAGTTAAAAATATGTAGGTGGCGCCCTCTACAAGTAGGAGTCATATTGACATCACAATCAAATTTCTCATGTCAAAAAACTTACTTTATAAAATTTGGATAAAATCAAAATAAAAATGAAATTTCTACACCCTGTATCTTCGAAACTAAGCATTTTAGGACATACATTTATACGAACCTTTTTACTTATTTTTATCTGCAGAATATGCTGCCAAAGTTTCCGTAATACAGTTCGGACCACCCTGTATATTTTTTTGTTCACGAAAATTGAGTGTGGTTTAAACTCTATAACTTCCATAATTTAAACTAATATATTTACGGAGCTATTGGCTAAATTACACGTAAACACCCTGTACATCAAATTGATACCAAACCAATGGGAAGCAACATAGATTTTTTACAAATTTATTAAGAGTATGTACATTGGAATATCGATTTGGTTTAAAAATAATAATCTTAACTGGGTACCCCTTGGTAGAAACATAAAACATATAATCTCATTGTTCTTTGTGTTTAAAGCCAACATTACCAGAGAGCAAAAAAGGTATTATTTTTCTCTAAATAAAAATATGATATATAAAAAAATAAAATCAAAATAGAAATGGTTAGGCTTCCTCTAACAGAAATATCATCGAAAAAAAATAGGTATGTTGGACTTAAAAATTAAATCACAGATGTGTTAAAAAAAGCCGGAGAGAAAAATTCGAAAAATAAATATCACCGATGTGTAATGGACGACCAGCAAATTTTTTAAAACAAAAATATCGGCGTTTGGTCGTCTCACGTACCGGCTTTGCCATGCTATAAGAGAGTAAATGCGTCAAAATCAATATACATAATAAATTTTCTATTTCAACATTAACAGAACGTACTAATTATTCTGATTAGCTACCTATAACGAATACGTTTATTCTTGTTATGCCTTTAAGCAAATACCGTACGATCGAGAAAGAAAATGGTGTCACAGTAACCTTTGAAATTATAATTGACTATAATTTTATTAACGACAACGGACGAACATTAATCATCAGTTGTCATTTGAAATATCATTGCAACGTTGTTTTTTCGATCATACGGTATATTTACATATTATAAAATGAACACAGAGTAGAAAGAGACAGAGTATTGAAATAATAAAAAAAATGTAAAAATTCAGACAATAAACAAAAATAAACGTAGACTAGCATATACAGGGCGTTTGAGATGGTTGCTATCTAGTGTATATTATATTATAATATTACAAAAAGGCCTCAGAGTTATATTATTTAAAAATATATTATAATATACACTATGAAAATAATATTAATATTTAATCAAACGCATCTCAAAATAATATGAGTCATGATAAATAAACAATAAATATCATTGAAGCAAACAATAAATGAAACAATGTAGTATTTTGTAAACTGGTATAGGTATAGATTTCTAATATGGATAAATAATGAGAGTGTGTGTGATAATTTTTGAACAAAATCAGACTTATTACTTTATTTTTTTTTTGTTTGGGATCGATTGGTTTTATTAATAAAATTTTCGAGACAAATGGATGATTAAGTATAAATATAAATACAAACGCGATAAAATACTGCATACTTATAACAAAACATAACTGTGTCTAGAATTTAAAAAAAATTGCTAACCTATATTAGAGGTTAGCAAATTTATAAAAATTCATTATTCAAATTTTAAAATTAAAAATTCACAAATAAAATTTCATGATTAAAAATTCACTATCGAAAGTTTCATGAAAATTCACTGTTGAAAGTGTAACGACTGAAATTTTAATTGAAAATTCACATATAAAATTTCATGATTGAAAATATTTCCCAATTGAAAATTCAGTATTGAAAGTTTAACGCCTGAAAAGTAACGATTGAAAGTTTCAGGACTTAAATTTTAATTGATAATTCACGAAAAAAAGTTATGATTTAGTTTCCCAATTTAAAATTCACTATTGAAAATTTAAATTTGAAAATTTAGGAGTAAAATTTTATGAATGAAAATTCACTATTCAAAGTTTAATGCAAATTCACTGTTGAAAGTGTAACGACTTAAAATTCATGACTGAAATTTTAATTAAAAATTCACATATAAAATTTCATTATTGAAGGTTTCCCAACTGAAAATTCAGTATTGAAAGTTTAACGACTCAAATTTTAATTGATAATTCACGAATAAAATTTTATAATTGACTTTTCCAACTGAAAATTCACTATTAAAAATTTAAACTTGAAAATTTATGAAATCGAAAGTTTAACGACAATTCACGGTTGAAAGTATAACGACGTAAAATTCACGGCTGAAATGTTAATTGAAAATCCACATATAAAATTTCGTGATTGAAGGTTTCCCAATTGAAAATTCAGTATTGAAGGTTTAACGAATGAAAATTCAGTATTGAAAGTTTAACGAATGAAAATTCACGATTGAAAGTTTCACGACTCAAATTTTAATTGATATTTCACGAATAAAATTTCATATTTGAGTTTCCCAATTGAAAATTCACTATCGAAAATTTAAACTGTAAAATTTACGAATAAAATTTTATGAATAAAAATTCACTATTGAAAGTTTAACGAAAATTCACTGTTGAAAGTATAACGACTTAAAATTCACGACTGAAATTTTAATTGAAAATTCACATAAAAAAATTTCATGATTGAAGGTTTAATAAAATTTGTCTAATAAATGTAGAAGAGATAAATCATATTCTATTTTTTTAGATATTTCGATACACCGCGTGATCGAAAAAAAAGTTAATCAATCGTAATTAAAATGAAAATCAATAATATTATTGTTCCATATTTTTAAGGAAGTAAGTTCTTATGACAATTATTAAGAAATAAATAATTATTGATTTATATTAAAAATACTACTGTAACGTCCTTTTTTCAAACATATATTTTCATAAGTATGCAGTAAGTAAAATACTCTCCCATATTTCTCCAAATTAAAAATCTACTTCAGTTATTTTAATCTTCTACATAATGGCTTAAGCTGACCCCACACAATTTATAATTATTAAATGTCCGGTTTGTGTAGCATCCACTCAATCCTGTTCATTTATACTCGCTAATAGAAAAAAAAAATCTTTATATCACTTCATAGTAAAAACATCAATAAATTCACATCTCTGTTTAATTATAAATAAATTACTATAATCTATGTATTCAGTCAAACAGCCCAATCTCATCGTGTCATTCGCGTTTTAAAGCCGTTTTAGTTACTTTGCGAAGTTTTTTCGGTTTTTCTTACTAGCCTTCGTGTGAAACGAAATTAGTTAGGTTGGAACAGTGTCATGGTCGAGGTTAGACGCTCTCCCTATAGTAAGGATTGACTCCTTTGATTGGTAGAGGATGGGCCTCCGTGTTGAACACCCATTGGTCGAAAGGATACAGGTTATCGTCTGAGAAGAGCAGATATAGGTACTGAAAAAAAAAAAGAAAAAAATTGTTAGTAATATTATAACTGGGGCCCGATTCTGTAAACATATTTCCTGTCTAGTAACTCATCAATCGCATATAAATAGAATAGGTTAGACAGGACCTTTCTTGCTACAGAGCTTTCAGAATCCCTCTTCTGGTGTAAGTAAGCTTATTAGAGTGTACCAAAAAAAGATTTATATTTTTTTCTTTTTAGTTATTGTGAAAATATAGTTCACAATGATGAAAAAAAAATCTGGTAAAATTTGAGCTCTTAATAATAATAAGGAAGTTTCATCGTGATTTTCTATCTCCGATTTAAATAAGATAGGCATAATTTGTTTTGTGAATTTTATTGCGTTCTAACAAATCAGCCCCCCCCCCGTGTTGTAACCTTCAATACATGTTCTTGTAGGAAATTGTACGATCTTCAAAAAAGGGCTGATATGATTTTTCATTTAATCAAATCATTTGAAAGTTATTGAAGGTGTAGATTTAGTTAATAAAAAAAATATTATCTAAAAAGCTATATTGTCCCGGCAGTATACGTACGGTAGCCTTTCATCAATAGAGCAGTCATGGGTTCGTTTGTATTACACTGGAAAAAAATCATAATATATAATAGCTCCCGTATATAGCGCTTAACGCCTTGGGAGTAGCAAGGTACAGCTTGCTATACTAGAGCCGTTCAGTATACAAGGAAGGTAATGTGGCTAGCACTACGTTTCAACCGCCTATTATTACCTCAGGATTGTGAATCCCAAGTACCCATTTAAGGTTGAGTAGACCTAGGTACCCAAACTATTTTTATTTTAATAAAAATAGTCGGCTGATGTGGGAATCGAACCCACACCTTGAGATTGGTAGACGAGAGCCTGTACCTCTACGCCACCGGGCACCTTGGAAAAAAAATCAAAGTACACTAAAACTAATTGGATGTCAGTAAAGAAACAAAAAAACACAGTCGTAGTTAAAAATAAATTACTATATTGAATCAGGATGATTCCTAATTTTTGTAATTAACATTGTAAATTTTTGTCAGATAAAAATTATGTTGAAGTGATGATTACGTCAAGTGAAAAAAGAATTATAGAAAAATATAATCAGATTAAAGCCAATGAAAATTAAAAGGGTAGTATTACTTTACTTAAATATTAAATTCTATTTTGATTGAAAAATTATTAGACCATGGCTTTTATTACCTGACATTACATAAGAATCAAGTGTAAATAAGACATTTAAGGAAATAAAATATTATTGGCATAGCATTTTTTAAGAAATTATTAATTTTTTAAGTCATTACTCAGGTGAAAAAAAATTGAGTAAATATACTAAAATTAAATATACAAAAAAATCTACTTTTCTTACAATAACTATTTGTTGTATTTCGCAAAAAATTTCAATTTTTTACCAAAGAACGCTTGATAAACTTTACGAAAAAATAGGATATTTTATATTGAGCCATTATTTCGTGATAAAATATAAAACATTGTGGAAGTTTTCATACACAATTTGAAGTGGAACTTTAACCTTCAATAACTTTCAAACGAGTTGATTTAATGAAAAATCATGTCGGGCCTTTTTTGAAGACCATTCAATACCCTTCAAGAGTAAGTATTGATTCCATTGATAGTGACACGCAAGTTCAGAGTCAAGTATTTTCTCGCACATACATTAGCTAAGTTTAAAAGCTTTATGAGTGACGAAATACAAAAGTAAAGGCTGTCTACAATAATCGTTCTTACCTTTAACGTTTCTGCTAAAAAGAAACTCTGCTGCACATCGTCTTGTTGTGGCTCCTCGGAGTACACGTTCTTTAGGCCAGTGTACCCTCCAGGGGCCCTACAGTACTTCTCTAACGCCTATAAGAAATAATTAAAATAAATATATAAAAAAAAACACGAAAATTTTTTAAGTACTGACCTGTACTGCTTCCCAGCCCCAATCCCTGTATTTCTCGTCTTTGGTCAGCCTATAGAGATAAAAGTACGATTCTATCACTTCAGGACGCAGAATATAATATTTCTCCGACGTTTTTAAAGCTCTGGCTTCTGCACCTTCGGTAAATCTATATAAAACATTTCCTTAATAAAGAAAAGTAAAACAATAAAGATACAATGATTTACCTGAAGGATTCTGGTCCCAATTTAGTATAACTCCTGTCATAGGACTCATGACACGTGTGAGTAACTGCTTTGGCTACATCCATGTAACGTGAAGATAAGTCGTTGTTTAAAGTTTTTGCAGCTAAGGCTAATAATCCGCCTGGAAAAAAAGAAAGTTTGATAATACTTTTCAAGACAAAAAGTAGTCTTCAAGAACAAGCCAGAAGTGACATCTGTGGGTATACAGGGGAGTTTCCTACGATGTTCTCTATGGGTATCTCAGAAACTACTGGAGAGTCTTCCAGGTTCTAGAATTCCGTTTTAAGTCTAATTTTTCTGGGATCATTAGGTAGTGAAAAAAAGTAGTAACTACTTTACACTAAATACTACAGTACGAAACCGTAAAAATATTCCATACTAAAATTATTGATAAGATAAAATTGTCAAATTTTGAAATTTGAAAAAATAAGTTCATTTTCGAATTTTTTGTGATTAGAATCCATTTAAAGATACTAAACCTACCTGAGAAACAAGCTAAGTGATCCATCTTGTGTTCGACCCTTTCAAACTTCAATTCGGCGAAATACGACAGGCCACTGGACGATGTTTGAAGCATATGCTTCAAAACCGCGGACATGGCATCGTCGAACATCTGCCTAGCTTCGGTGTCTTCTTTGGCGCTTTGAAGCCACGCCTTCAACAAGTATTCGTAGAAACTGTCACCTAGTGCTCCCATTGACATATGATCTAAAAATAGACCAATTTTTACATGTATATCTAATAATCCGGTTATTACATATTATAAATAAAAGAAGGAATGTTTACCAATAACCTAGTTATTTTCAGTCGCCTTGCGAAGTGCCTAATAAGAATTAGGCACATTTCTACAAAAAGACCAATGTTCAGTTATTTTACAAAATGCCTAATCGAGGCCAGGCAGATTAAAAATGATCAAAGTTTAGTCAGTTATGCGTATAGCATATTGTGCAATTTGAGCTTTAGTAAAAAATCATTGTTTAATAAGCCTAATTTTGATTAAGCATTTGGTAAAGCGCCTAAGAAGAGATAGGCTCTTTGTAAAATGTCCTTTTGTTTAAAAGCCAGCGTTTTATAATATGCCTAGTCTTTTTGCAAAATGCCCAATTATTCGATACACCTGCGACATGTATATCTTCTCTCTGGATTGTCTTAACAAGAGGAAAAACTTTTTTATTATTGTTAAGATTTTGAAAAAATACATTTTTCATAAAAAATTTTGCTTGTTCTAAAATACTTATGCCCACTTGCACCGTTTGTATAAACTTTGTTTAAAGGCTAAACAGTGATTAACTATATAGTATTTTATTATAGTTAATCACTGTTTAGCCTTTAAACAAAGTTTATACAAACGGTGCAAGTGGGCATTAATCTCATTTATACTTTTCCAAATTTCCATACCGTTTTGGAGAAATTAAAGAAAAAGGAAAAAAGTCCTAAAAATCAAAAGGCGTTTCTATGGTAATATTATTTCGATTTCATTCTTTGATAGATGGTTATTATTAATTTCGATTAACGTCATATTTTTTGCTGTTATTAAAGTATCACATTTTCCGATATCTATTATCACCCTTTCCGTAGGCAATGAACTAAATAACAACAAAAACAGCAAAAAATATGACGTTAATCAAAATGAATAATAACCATCTATCAAAGAATGAAACCGAAATTATATTACCATAGAAACGCTTTTCGATTTTTATAACTTAGAATTCAAGCAAATGTTTTTCTTAATTTTCTCTAAAACAAAAAAAAAAAGGAAACTATAAACGGAATTAACCATTTTAGTATTTTAGAACAAGCAAAATTTTTATGAAGAATGCATTTGTCTCAAAATGTTAATAATAAAAAAGTTTTTCCTCCTGCATAACGACAATTCGGGAACATAATGTATAAAGTGATAAATTTCTTTAAAACCTATCGGACAAGTTGGAAGTTCAGAAATTGACTTACGTTGTCCCCACTTTCCGCTTCTGGGGTTCAAATAATTCGGGAACAACCCGTTGGGCTTCTCCATTTGGTTCAGCACGTGCCTGATCTTGTCAACCTTGTTCCTGTAGATTGTATTGCCTGTGACGTCACTTAGGTAGGCCATCTCCAAGTGAAGGGTTCCGAATTCGGATAGAATACTCGAACTACCACTGGCCCACCCGTAGTTTTTGCTAGACTATAAATTAAAAAATAGAATATAATAAAAAATACCCTATAAAAAAGATATTAAAATAATTTACCCCCGTTTTAAAGTTGACCAGAGCGTTTGGGATACCGGATGGAGTGTTGAAAGCTGGGAGAAGTTTGTCAGCAATTTGCTGAGCTTTGTCTTTGAAAACGGGGTCTCCTGTTAAGGCGTAGCACGTCAGTAGACCCCCTACGAATCTGATGTTGACTTCGAATACTGATACGTCAGACACCTGTAAAAAAATGTACGAAATAAAGATAATGTCATGGGCGTGCTCACAGTGGGGTATTTGCCCCACCCTATCTGTCTGGCTTATGTATATTTTCTTAATATATTTTATGCGTTTGCATAACTTGATGTGACAAGAAACATTTTTTGAAAGTCAGCTTCAGAATTTTTTTTTTTTCAAAAAGTATGCGCAGTTTTTTACAAGACACAAAAAATGTAGTAAACACGAGAAGGACTATTTTACAACCAAAAATCGATCGTTTTATGTAATGACGGGTTAGTTTTTAAACTGTTAAAGCACTTAATAAAACATAGACACCCAAAATCTCATTCAAATCCAGGGTGCAATGATTTAAATCAACGGATTTATTTTTTATTTTTTTTTATTTTAATAATAAAAAAAATCAACGTGTTTAAAAACGTAAGATAAATCGAAAAATATATAAAGATATAGAAAAGTATTCTTATAACAAATATACCCTATATTTATTCATCATACACTGTCACTTTAACATTTGCTGTTACACTTGCTGTTGTAACGTTTAAATACTAATCGAAAAATAATTGTAAAAGATATAACATATAACACATAAACCTACTTAATATCTATTCATCTATTAAAATGCTGAACCGATTTTTGAAGTTATTTCGTGTCATTTCTGCCATTCTTCTAAATGGCAGAGATTTATTTTGGAATTGTAAAGTGTGAATACATTTCATTCGCAAACTCTAGTGCACAACTAATTTCTTCTGATGTCAGGTTATATTTTTATTCCCGAGGACTATAATCAATGTCAAAAAATATGCTGGTGTCAAGGCTGTTTTATATCTTTTTTGAAACAGCTGAATGTTGATCAAGCTAACTACTGCTTTCCCTAATTTATCTTCTAGTTCATTCCAAATTTCTACCGATATTTTATTCTGCAACAAGTGCTTTGCACTTTGAACATTAAATGGTACTAATTTTATGCTCGACTTAAGACAGTCATGACTATTTCTATAAAAGAAATCATTTGATCTAAGCAGGCGATTTTTTTGCGGAAATAGGGGCATTGGCAAAGTTTCCAGAATAAATTATATCGGTGATCAACGCAACGTGGAAACAAGACACGCGCCCGACGCGCCGTAAAGTGTTAATATTATCGATATCGGGCAAAAAAATCTGATTATTTTTTTTGCATCCTGTTCAAATCGGAATATCGGGTCTTAAAATATCTTAAAAAAGGCGTTTATTTTTTTTTAAACTTTGATGCTTTGATCTAACGGACAAACGAAGCACTTTTGTATAGAGGTAAACTATGTCCAATGAACTTATTCTGTTCCCAAAAATACGTAACAGTTCTATATTGGGACACCCTGTATAGAAATAAACAGAAAGGAACTATACACACAAGGTAGAGAAAAATCACGGAAAATATACAATTTCCCACCGCTTTCAGGGCAAAAGCAAATAAAGCAGCTAGCATGGAAGTGAACGAGAAATATGAAACGCATAAAATATGTACTACGGCAAGGTGAGTAGACTGGGACTAAATTGAATTCATCAAACTGGAAATGGAAATATAAACATTTGCCGGAGAACTTTAAACAGCTTCAAACAGGAAAATTGCAAAACATAAAAGAATTCTTACAGTATTCAGTTAGTTACGTATTTGAATGGTGATTTGTTAAAAGGGCACCAGTTTTCAGTATATTTGCTTCCAACGGCATAAATTGATTATATTATATACCGGGTGCGTCTCAAAAGTGGATCACCCCTATAACATCTTTATTATTTCAGATAAAAAAATGGGATTTGGTATGATAGTATATGATATAAATTAGGATTGATTGCCGTATTCAATTGTTTTCGGTCACTTCCTGTTTCACCGGAAATGATTACAACTCTTGATTCTTAAATGGCACTCTCGGTAATTTTTTACTTTATTCGATAGAAAATTACTCTGAATAGAATGACATATCATATGTCAGCTGTTGACATTTTTGCTTTAAAAAAATCGAATTTTAATTTTAAATCTAGAGTGCCATGGCAGTGTTAAAAACACAAATTTTTAATCAAGGAGCCTTGGAGATATAAATTTGATCGTCTAAATATTTTTCATGTCTTGTCCTGGCCGGTTAAAAGATGCCCAAATCGTATTTTTAATCATATCTAAATTTTTTCAAATGGAACAAGAGTGGTTCATTAGCATATTCGGAAAAAGCATTTTTTACAAATAACTTGGTATCACACACTTGGTAATTCGAGTCAAATAATTGTGTTCAGAGTGTCATTTTATATCGAATAAAGTAAAAAAATACCAAGGGAGCCATTTAAAAATCAAAAATTCCGTCATTTCCGGTGAAACAGGAAGCGACCAAAATTTGCAAAAATTGAATACTTCAATCAATCCTAATTTATTTCATATACAAACATACCAAATCTCGTTTTTTTTTATCAGAAAAAATAAAAAAGTAACACCCGGTATAAAAAAGTGTGGAGAGAAAACTCTTCCATTAAAACAAACCTACATTTTTTTACATCTGGTTAGTCTACCTATTTATCTCAGGGAAAATACACCCAGTGGATTCTTCTTTTTATAAAATATAAACGCAACAAAATGCCAACATTTTAGACGAACGAAAAAATATCCAAGTATCTTTCCAAAACCAATCGTAATCAATCGGGATCGAAATAATGAAAAAGAATTGCTATTTCGGAGTTAGCAGGAAGTAATTCTATTCCTTAGGGAATCCCGGTCTTACAGGAAAAATATAATCGATATAGCGTATCTGTTTCCTTTTTTAAGGATTAGAACATGATCACTGGTGTGTTAATAAGAAGAGAAAACCTTCAAAAAATCTTAGAAAATAACATGGTCTCTGTTTCAAGGAAAATATTATCGGTGTAAATATAAATACACTCACCGGCACGAAAAACGGTCACCTTAAAATTTTCATGTATTTTAAAGTTTTACATAGTATTGTGTTCTAGAGGACCGATTTTGGGGGATAATTTTTTAAGAAATTTGTAGCTAAATTATTTGGCTTTTTGGTATCTCTTTCTAAATTAAAAATGAAAGTTGCCATCTGTCAATTATACCAGTGAAAACAAAATGTTGAAATTTTGGTGAAAATTTGAAATACCCTGTGGAAAGACCCATCTGGGCGTACCTTTTCTCGATATTTTGTTATTTAACTCCTCTCAATAGCTTTATTTTAATTGGAGATATTCCCTTTTGAAGAAGGCACTAACATTTTTTTGTAATTTTACATTAAAATTCAACAAGCCTATAAAATAGTGTTTATGATTTATACACATAATGCGACAGTCTTTGAAAAATCATATCATTATTGTCTGTTGGGCCACGCCACTACTCTGCTATATATATATATATATATATATATATATATATATATATATATATATATATATATATATATATATATATATATATATATATATATATATATATATATATATATATATATATATATATATATATATATACATATATATACATATAGCTGATATAGTTTTAAGTAGCAAAGTTGATCTCTACCATGATCAATTAAAGCAGCAATAGCCGATACTTCAGAACTTAAAATTATCTCTAGTAAACATCAATAAACAATAATAATATGACTTTTCAATGACAGTGACATTACAAAAACAATAAATACTATTTTATAAGTGTGTTAATGAGAACCCAAAATCTATACTAAAATTGTCGTAAATCGTTACTGTGTGTGTCTTATTCAAAAGCGAATAGAGAACAACGGCACAGCCTACAAAGACGTAATCGTTTACGTACGCATGCGCATTTGTTATATTTTTACACGTAAAAGATTGTTTACGGCTACGTATACGTGCCAGCAGCGGCCGATTCGACCGTAGGCCGTTGTTCTCTAATATCGCCAATAAAAATAAAGCTATTGAGAGGTCGGTCAAGTTTGCCCCCCGTATTAGAGGAAATTCAAAAATAAATATACCACTATTTTGCACACATTTTGCACAATTTTGCATACCATAAATGATATTTTGCACACTTACCTAAGAGAAACCAGGGCCATTTTTTAAACGAGGGGCAAACTTGACCGTTCCCCCCCATTTGTTACGAAATGATTTATTTCTATGTACATCGATTCGGCTAATTTTGCACAATTTTGCACACCTGTTTTTGAATTTTGCACACCTTTCTGACGAAAGTTATAAGTGGTTGAAAAATTTGAATTGGCCCCCATCTGTGACTAAATTGAATTTTGTTTATATCTAACGAATCGGCTAATTTTGCACACCTGTTTTTGAATTTTGCACACCATCCTGATGAAAGTTATGAAAGTTTGAAAATTTGCAATTTCCCCCCCACCATCTGTCACGAAATTGAATTATGTGCATATCAAACGAATCGGCTAATTTTGCACAATTTTGCACAGCTATTTTCGAATTTTGCACACTCTCCTCACAAAAGTTATAAGAGTTTGAATATTTGAAATTTGTCCCATTGTGTGTGAAATGTCCCATTTAAAAATACATAAGTATGAGTCATATTTCGAAAATGATAGATCTCAGCGACGTGAAAAACTGCACGGAACTTAGATTTCACCTTTTCGATAATTTATAGCTTGCATAGAAGAACATTTATGAAACTAAAGATTCTACACACAGATTTGTCTTAGCCTGAAATACTTCACTCCTTACTTACTTCCTGAAATACCTGGCAAATTTGAAAATTTTGCATTTTTCGACAACCCTCATATCTCGGTTATCCTATACTTATCGAAAAGGTGAAGTCTGGGTTCCGTACAGTTTTCCACGTCGCTGAGATCTTATCATTTTCAAATATGACTTATACTTATGTTTTAATGTTTGGGACAATTCACACACAATGGGACAAATTTCAAATATTCAAACCCTTATAACTTTTGTCAGGAGAGTGTACAAAATTCGAAAGTAGCTGTGCAAAATTGTGCAAAATTAGTCGATTCGTTTGGTATAAACAAAAGTCAATTTCGTAGCAGATGGGGGGGAAATTGCAATTTTTCACACCCTCATAACTTTCGTCAGGAATGTGTGCAAAATTCTAAAATAGGTGTGCAAAATTGTGCAAAATTAGCCGATTCGTTTGATATAAACCAAATTCAATTTCGTAGCAGATGGGGGGGAAATTGCAAATTTTCAAACCCTCATAACTTTCGTCAGGAAGGTGTGCAAAATTCTAAAACAGGTGTGCAAAATTGTGCAAAATCAGCCGATTCGTCATGATATAAACGAAATTCAATTTGTTAGCAGATGGGGAAATTACAAATTTTCAAACCCGCATAACTTTTAGTCAGAGAATGTGCAAATTCAAAAACAGGTGTGCAAAATTAGCCGATTCGTTTGGATATAAACACAATTCAATTTTGTATTGGCAGATGGGGGTGGGGGAATTTTACATATTCAAACCCCTTATAACTTTTGTCAGGAAGGTGTGCAAAATTCTAAAATAGGTGTGCAAATTGTGCAAAATTAGCCCATTCGTTTGATATAAACAAAATTCAATTTAGTTACAGATGGGGGGGAAATTTCAAATTTTCAACCCCTTATCACTTTCGTCAGGAGGGTGTGCAAAATTTAAAAATATGTGTGCAAAATTGTGCAAAATTAGCCGAATTCGTGTACATAGAAATAAATCAATTTCGTAACAAATGGGGGGGGGGACGGTCAAGTTTGCCCCCCGTTTAAAAAACGGCTCTAGTTTCTCATAGGTAAGTGTGCAAAATATCATTTATGGTGTGCAAAATTGTGCAAAATATGTGCAAAATAGTGGTATATCTCTTTTTGAATTTCCTCTAGTGAAGGCAAACTTGCTATTGAGATGAATCAAGAAACAAACTATAGACGTAGCTAGTAGAAGATGTTAAAATTATTTTTAAATTCCTTGCTTTGTTAAGATATTCCACAGGGTGTTTCCAACATTCACCAAAATATCAACATTTTGTATTCACTCGTATAATTGACAGATAGGGATACTAAAAAGTCAAATAAAATTTTGCATAAAAATCATCAAAATCGGCCAACCACAACAAAATATATAAAACTTTAGAATACATCAAAATTGTACCCGTTTTTCATGCCAGTGAGTGTAGAAAACACAAAATTTGGAAAAAGGAATTTCTTTTCACTGGACCGAAGACCTTGTTTGTCAATAAACTGTATGTCAAAGTTCAACAATTTCCGAAATTTGCCAAGACCAACAAAGAAAAAAACTTTTAATAAACACGTGATTTATTTTATCTGAAATCAAATTTTTTTTCGATTAAATCACACCAGATACTTCAAGTTATATCTATATCCATAGATTAGAATTTTAATTTGTTAAATCCTGTCTCTGGATGACTAATTTTTGGGGCTTTTTTTCGAAATTATAATATCAATATCTAATCTAGTAAATAATAATAAAATTGTTTATTAATTATCCCAAAATCGGATCCAAGTTGTTGATGAATTAAATTACTAATTATTCGTATTAATAAAAATATAGTTTCACGATAAAAATATATAAATACATATTTTCAAGTTAATATATTGCATTTCTAGGTTAATTCATTTAAATAGAATGTCAACTTTGTTAAAGCGAATAGTAACTTGTTCCCTTTGTACCCAAAGAATACAAAGATTCTAAGATTCAAAGTTCTTTCATTATTATTAATCATCATGTAGATTGAAAATGGGTGAAAGATGAACATATTTCATTTTTTTCTTGTTATCCTTAATATAAACATTTATATGATAATTATAATTATTGATGATCGTTGTACTGAGATCAAAGATATTGATATTGTGTTTAAGAGACAATGTTATTTTTTATTTTTCACACTTTAAAAATTAGATCTTTATAAAAAATATAAGTGATACGATATCTAAATATTATATTATAAAAGTACAGTATAAACTTATAAACAACTTGACAAATATTTTTGTTTATTGCAATTGTGATATTGCACATATTTTACATAGTAAATAATTTTATTTACTCTGTTTTGATAAATGTTAATTACAGATATTTTATAATTTCATGTTATTTATTAAGATTTGAGAAAGATTGGTTGCGTTGAGAAACTCTGAAGGGTCGGTATATCACCAGTAAAACAGAAATCTGAAAAAAAGCTTGTCAGGGGCTTTATACTTACATATACTTATATATACAGGGTGAGTCTTAAATAAGTGCCAAATATTTTTAGGGGTAGTAATTTTCATCCCCAGAAACACTTCTACGTGTTTTTTTTCGCAAAAAAATTGAAAATTTGGAATTTAAAAAAATGGATTTTTAGTTACAAAACATATCTTCATAATATGGCAACATAGGTAGGTTAGTAGATTAAATTTACAAGAAATAATACCCAGAAAAGATCTAGTGGTTTTCAAAATTTAAGTGAAAAATCATTTTTTTTGGAAATTTTCAAAGAATAATATCTCCGTTATTTTGGACTTAATTGAAAAACGATAAAGAAAATAATGTTTCTTTTATCGAGATCTACCAGCCTTGAAAATATTTGCACTTATTTAAGGCTTACCCTGTATATAAATATTATAGCTTTCAATATGCCGAATTTATGATTTAACCAATGCTTATGTCAATTTTATGTTTTGTCAATTTTACACGTTTTATTTTTTATCTCGAAAACTATTAGAGATCGGCGTAGGTTAGTATATACAGGGTGTCCCAAAAATAAGTGCAAGTATTTTAAGGGGTGGTAGACGTTGATAAAAGAAACATATTTTCTCTTTATCGTTTTTCAAATAAGTACAAAATAACGAAGTTATTACTTTGAAAATTTATAGAAAAAATGATTTTTTGCTAAAATTTTGAGAACCACTGGATCTTTTCTGGATTTTTTTTCTTTTTTTTCGCGAGAAAAACCTCATAGGCGTGTTTCTGTTAAAATACTTGCACTTATTTCTGGGACACCCTGTGTAATAGAAAAATTATAAGATATGAAAGTATGTAATTTCGAAAAAATATAATAATATACTGGATGTTTCATTTAAAATAACAAAGATGCTACCGCTTTTAGTGTACAGCGACAACACTCTAATGCTGAAAATAATTTAGACATATGGAGCAGTTGCTTTATACAAAAAATCACCCTGAATCACCCTGTATATCCCCCCTGTCGATGTCGTCAGAAACAAAAACACAAAGAAGAAGAGAACACCGTTTTTTTAGCCACAGATACGTCTAAATTTAAAAGTATAGTTTTTCTGTTAAATGGGGGAGAAAAATCGTATTCTTCGTTGGTTATGGCCTCTGCCCTTTATGCTCTCATTTACATTCTTCGATCGTAAGAAACGGAAAGATAAAAATCGGAAAATATTCCGGCAAATCGACGATTCACTGCTGTTTCTAAACTTGGAAAATCGTTAAAGCCACGCGTTGTATAATAGTATGGTCGTTTTCGTGCCCTGGTCCTATCTGTATTCTTTGTGCTATGGTTTTTGCAAGTGATTCTTTTGATGTTAACAGCATACAGATAGAGAAAAAACTACACAAGTTATATCCACACATACAGGGTGAGTTTTCTACGATGTTCTCTATGGGTATCTCGTATCTCGGAAACTACTGGAGATAGAGAGTTGGTTAAATGGGGAAAGAATTGCAGTTTTGTGGGGTCATAAATATGCGCCTTTCAGATTTTTGAAAATGTTCATGGCTTACTAGATATTTCGAAAAAAAACAAATTTCGGCTATTTTAAAAATTGTGCCTAACTCCATTATAAGCTATTTTAGACAAAAAGTACAGATAAAAGTTGAAAATAATTACATTCTTAATGAGATTGTGACCTCGGCTATTTTCTAAAGCCTGTCATTTTTGACATATGACACAAACATATGTTTTTTTAATGGAAAACCGTAGTTGGCCATGACTTCATAAAAAGCACCATTTTTTAAGCTTTTTAGCGATATAAGCTATAATATGTTTTCTTCGAAAAATTACAGTTATAGCCAATTCTTATAATTTTTAAACAATTTCACTTAGTTAGCCATGGAAACAAGTTCAATCGTCTTTGCTCTCAGAAATGTGAAGCTGTCAATGAATTTTTCAAATGAAGGATTATTGGTTCAACTTTTCTTGACCATACATTTTCGAGGATACGTTGACCGGTGGATGTTACGTTTTTTAGAGAACGGTTTTCATGACATGTTAGAAAAGTTAAATTTAGTTATAGTCAATTAGCAGTATACGAAATTCAAATAATTAGTTTTCTGACAGAAGGAAATAAATTGTCTGATTGTTTGACACTTAATGTCAAAGGAAGCTAGGTAAAATGTTATCAGAGTGAAGCAATCAATAATTATAAAATTCCACGTTATTTTGCTTAAGTAGTACAAATATTTATTCTAACTTACCACAGAATTTACATCAAACTCTTTGGCCACCCAGTCTCTGGCTTGCTTGAACTCCTCCATCATTCCCATCATATACAGGGTATCCAATCCGTCCAAAATGGAAGCGCCCAACGGTTGTGAACCAAATACGCTACCGTTGTGCCCTCTCTTCGACACTGGTCGAAGTTCATTTTTACCCCACGCGTATCTCACGTAGTTGTCCCAAGCGTGTTTCATCATCTGAAATAATATATTTACCAATCAATTTAAGACATACAAAATCATTAATTTTAAAAAAGAATCTCCGTTGGACTTATTTAATAGTCCTAGCATTATGTTAATTCGTGAACTAATACTGTGTCTAATCATATTGTATCTCCAGTATATTATTTGTCTGGGTATTTGTAGCTGTAGATGTTAAATTTAAATGTTTTATACAGTTTTTATATTTAAACGTACATTGTCCTTAAACCTATTGAAGAAACATAACATGGCAACTAGAAAAAGATGAAAAACAATGGAACATTAGCTGATCAGTGAAACCGAACGCGTCCACTGCAAGTTACTTCTGATTCGGTCACGAAAAAACGATAAAACCATTGAAACAGAAGAAAAAGAAGACAAATAAACGACGACCGCAGCTTAATGGTCACAAATGACCGGTCTAGTGGAACTTTAAAGCCCAGAATCCTTACGTAGCAAAGATAGAAATATATACAGGGCGTCCCATATCGGATAGTATAAAAATTAACTCTATTTTCTGAGATTTTCAATGTAAAGCTTCATTCAGAACCTCGAAATCAGTGGAATAAATTAGTAGTTTCAATTAGGCGTAGAAGTTTGTTCACCTAATTTTAATGTAAGCATTCAGAACGTCATAATTAGTGGTAGTAATTTTCAATTATTGGAAAAAGTTAACAAACTTTTGACTTTTCCACTAATTATACTTCAAAATTTACGAGGAATGTCATTTTGGCCTTTGATTATCACCCGTCAAGAAAAGTTTTGGTTAGAAACTTTGAATAAGAAGACTAAGGAAGGAGCATAATGCTATCCATGTATTCATGCATGGTGGGCGGAAAAGGCACCATAAAAGCTCTCTAGGGTGGGGATCCTTGACAGTTCTGTTTGACGATTCATTTGACACATTTGAATTTGATTTAAAATTTTGTGGATTTGTCAGTCTTTATGAAGCTTATTTTATGTTATTTATTATTTATTCTACTACTGATAGTTGTATAAAGGTAGTAAATCTAGATGGAAATTGTGGCAGAACTTAAATTAACAGTGACACTATCGCGATTTATCGAAAAAGACTCTAAAATAGTTGGTTGTGTAGCGTGCGGTAGATCTCGGCAAAAATTGAGTGAAATAATGGAACAACTTTTCGCTAGTAAGTGACTATATAATATACATACGTGTAGTAAACCGATCATTTATGAAATTCACTTAAATTAACTAAATTATATATTTTTTCTTGCATTTTAGCTTTTATTTATTACTTGTCAAAGATTAGATGTCAAAGAATTTAGATACGTTAATTTGACTTACCTGCTTCAGTAGCGTATCGGATGTTTGTGTTAATAAATACTTATTATAACTTATCTATTTTTATTAGAATTATATATTTTTATAACAATTTTAATAACTACCAACATTTATTCACAACGTAAAATAAAACAACAAATTATTGAGTTTACCCCACGTCTACCCTACATCAAAGTTTTACATTTTTTAAATAAAATTAGAACGACACTGATAAACCGGAATTTAAGTCCGCCATATTTGAGGCCCATCGCGGTGTATCTAAGATTTTTGATATGCTCCTTCCTTAGTATTCTTATTCAAAGGTTAGAAATCAAAAGTTTATTGTTTTATAAGCTAAATATTATGCTTTCTCTGTGGATACAACCGACTACCGCAAGCTGTTGCTAGGATATTTTATTAATTTTAATTGTGTTTTTTAGACATTGTGAATGATCGTAAACTAAAAAGTATGAAGTGTAATTGAAACCACTAATTTATTCCATTAATTGGGAGGTTCTGAATGAAGCTTAAGCATTCAGAACTTCAAAATTAGTGGCAGTAATTTTCAATTAGTAGAAAATGATAAGAAACTTTAAACTTCTACCACGAATTATACTTCAAAATTAGCGAGTAATATTAAACTTGTAAAACCAAAACCAAGACCAACCGGTGCAAGACTTACCCGCAAGTCCAAGAAAAAGCATGGAAGACTTGCTTTTTTTATGTTTTTATTTAGCCCAATTTTCATGTTATTTTTTGACAAAATGTATAGCATCATCCCCCCATATATTTTTTGCATCTGAGTATATTGGAAAAAATCATTTTCATAGATTTTAAACTCAGAATTTTTTTTATAAAAAAAGAACAGATTAGTCCTCTTTTAGAGACAATATTCCCACAAAAATAACTGCAAACAATCCAAGCGCTCTACAAACAAAATATATAGAACATTTAACAGGCTGTAAGCCACACACTTGCTCGCTAATGAAGGTTAAATATTATTAAGTGCCCTTCTTTTCTTTTAACCGTTTAAAGAAAGAAGTTTTTAAATCTAATTAGTACCCGTGAAAGATTTAAACACACACTCTGGTAATTCATTCGACAAATATGTACCATTTTCCCGTCTATTTACCTCTTTAACTTTCAGTCTTCTTAAGGAATTGTCTACCACGGCACCCAAATTCTTCGTTCCTTTATCTATTGTGTTATCCAAAGAAGTTAGAATGTCGAGTTCACTACTGCTGAGGTTTACGCTAGCTGACAAGCTGATTTGATCGTCGTTTTTAGTTGGGTTTTCGCTGTTTTTTGAAGCGGAAATCAGCTTGATTAGCATGGGCGATTTTGTACCGATTTCCAAATGATTAGCTGACGTTGTGATGTCCTGATATGGTTCAGCTGATCTGGGTTTTCGAGAGAAGTAGGCTGCTGTGCAGGCCATGACGAATAGGGTTCCCACAATGCCACCTCCTTAGAGAAATTGACGTTAAAATCGGCAGGATATTTTTTGGTTAACTTTATGTATTTTTCAGTAGCTCGAAGTAAATAAATATAAGATAAATTAGTCAGTCTATAAACTTCTGTGTTTGTGAGAGCTATTTGAGCTTGCTCAAAACGATACTGAAATTTAATTATAGAGAATTATAGAGAATACAAAGAATTATAGAAATTATAAAGAACTTTGTCGCGTTGACAAAAAAAAATTGCGAGTTGTGAGCATAAAAAATATAGAGTTCTATAGCGTCTTAAAAATTAAAGTTACATTTTTTGAACTCTATGAGAAAAATAAATGTGACTTTTATTAGAGAAGCGTATGACTAAAATGTAAGGTTTTTGACATAATATACAGAGTGGTCCGAATTGTACTCGGGAAACTTCGGCAGCCTATTCTGTAGATAACCATGTATGTATGTATGTAAGTAGATAACCATGATCTCTGAATACTCTATACTGGGTGTTTCTCAAAAGTGGCTAACCCTTATATTTTTTTTCAGATAAAAAAACGAGATTTGGTACGTATATGACATAAATAAGGATTGTTTGATGAATTAACTTGTTTTAAGTCACTTCCTGTTTCACCGGATATGACTACAACTTTTGATTTTTAAATGCCACTCTCTGTATTTTTTTACTTTATTCGATGGAAAATGAGACTCTAAATAGAAATAATATATCACATTATAACTTTTGTTTCGCATATGGTTTATTTGAAATTGTAACATCCGGTTCATAACAACAATTTGACTCGAAATACCAATTTGTAAAAAATGTTTTTTTCCAAATATGCTAATGAGCCTTGTTTGAAAGCACTTAAGCCACCCTTGCGCGAAAAACATTAGACGATCAAGTCTATTTTTCCAAGGCATCTTGATTAAAAAAATAGTGTTTTAACACAGCCATTGCCATGGAAGAGTGCCCTCTAGATTGAAATTTAAAATACGATTTTTTAAGCAAAAATATCAAAAGTTGACATATATGTCATTCTATTTAGAGTGTCATTTTCCATCGAATAAAGTAAAAAAATACCATTTGAAGTTGCCGTTAAAAATAAAAAATTGTAGTAATTTCCGGTGAAACCAGAAGTGACCGAAAACAATTGAATACGTCAATCAATCCTAATTTATGTTAAATACTAACATACCAATTCTCGTTTTTTTTTATCTGAAAAAATAAAAAAGTTACCAGGGTGAGCTACTTTCGAGAAACACCCGGTATACTAGAAATATTGTATAATATAATGTAATATGTCTGTCGTGATAAAAATATTATGTGACATCAATAAATATAAATAATATATTAATATTTGCCAATATTATAAAAATTTGCCAATATTTTTTTTTATTTCGACTTTAACATTTATTAAATTTTAAATTTCAAGGAAAAATAAAATCCACATCAGAAAAAAAACAGAAACTTAATTGACCTAATTTACTTAATTAACCATAAATGTATTTTGAAATATTTCCTTAACAAAGAAAAAAATTACAGCATTAGCAGAAATAATCCAGAATATTTATTTTATTTTTTATTTATTTACATCAAGCCACTTTCAAATACATATAAAAAATCCTCCTTTACCTGCATTTCTATTCATGATGATTTGTTTGAATTATTTCACCTTAAAAACACTTAATTTTTTGGCTTAACAAACTAACCCTCGGGAAAAAGCACTAGCAAAAATTCGGAATCAGCCAAAAATTTCTAAAACGACATAAAAATAACTAATAACTCTTCTATCGAAAAAATCATCGGTCTGAAATTGACACTTCTCGCGATCGCGAGCCCCAACTGACCAACACTACTATAGCGCCGTTGACAAAAACCGCTGGATCGAGAAAGAGAGCAAGACAGACAATCAATTGAAGTCCGAAAAGAACCGCGAGAAACAAAGAGGCAACGAAGACACATACTCTCACACATAATGCACGGTCCGATTCTCAGTCATCGGCTTATCTCTCCAGAGAGAAATAAAGAGTTTTTGGAGATACGTAAGTGTAAAGAAGATGCTACGTTATTTTATACTACGGATTGCATATATTATATGTCAAATTTTGCCATTTTCAATTAAAAAATGGCCATAAATAAACGTAACGACAATTTTACTCCAAATACCAAGTATGTGGTACCAAATTATTCGTAAAAAATGCTTTTTCCAAATATGCTGAGCCAGCCTCGTACCATTTGAAAAATTTGAGTTACCACTAAAAATACGATTT